CACACACACACACACACACACACACACACACACACACAAACACAGGGATAGACTTGCACGGGACACTGAGCAATCATCCTAGCTTTCTTGGCCAATGTGAATAGAAAAGGTTGACGTACTGACAAAGCCTACTTCAGTCAATTATGAATACAAACGAAAAGTGTGGTTACCCTCTTTCTTTCACAAAAGGTTAGCAACCATTGGTCCTATTGTGTCCGATAACATTTCAGCTATCACTTGTTTTCAAACCCGATTGATTGACATGTAAGTGGGTGCACCATTCTGTCCCAAACTCTCGACTCCCAACCCAAGGTACTATGTTGTATACTATACACAGTGTATACTGTACTACATAGTATACTTCACAGTGTATACTTTATATAGTACATTATCCATAGTATAGTGCATAGTATATGTACTATCCATAGTTTAGTGCATAGTATATACTATGTACTATGTAGTATGCTATGCACCTTCCTAGTGTGTAATACGTATGCTCGTTTTGAAATTACTTGCATCTCGCCAAACTCGTGCATTTCCTACTCTGATACCATCTTCGACATCATGATTGCTGTCCTTGGGACATCCGTTAAAATTGGAATGATCCAGAGAAGATTAGCATGAAAAAAAAGAAAATACGAAAGCCATCATGATCGCTGCGACTTGAGTCTGGAAGCGTCACATACCTTCAAAGACCAGATATCGAGGAAAAAAAAAAAGAAAAAAAAAAAGACCAGAGATCGATCGCATCAGATCACTGAGGTATGAGTGTGACAGTCCGTCACTGTATGACTGTAGTGAAGAAAAAAAACAAAGCCCACGACTCGAGACTCGAGTAGCAAGAAGAGCAGCAATCATAACGTCTACCCCCAAAGCTTATCATCACATCTACTTAACCGTGACAAGGTTAGGGGTTCTGTGTTGCATGCACAGAGTCAGCTGCGTAAGTTCTCAAGCTATGGACAGTCTCGTCTTCTGAGTGCAAGGCTTCACAGTGTTCACACCCCTGTTATGGAATCAGATCCCACCACCCCCTTTTTGCGCCTGCCCTCCACGCCTGGGCTGTTTTCTCTGCAGATTAAAGGAAGCCCAATCTGTGACTGCCGAACTCGGACCTGACGATCCACTGTGAATGTGTATGGAAGTGGGGTGGTGTTTCTTTTTTTTTTGTTGAAAAATTTGGACCATTTCTCGATTTATCCGTGTCATCCTTGCGCAGGGGCCATGCTAATCTTCTTTCTCTGTATCGTTCCAATTTTAACGGATGTCCCGAAGGACGTGGGGTGGTGTTTCAAACGAGAGATGGGACCGAAATTGTCTGACTGCTGAACTCCGGCCATCAAACTTGACTGTGTGCAGAAATGGGTGGTGGTCCCGAATGCCGACTTGTGCGAAATGAATAGCTATTAGTAAACGGAACTCCCGCGTTCGCAGAGTCTGACATGCGTATGCACAGTGTGGCATAATTTTCAACTTCACTCCACTGAAAAAAAATCTGTGTCAAACTGGAAGAGCTGAGCAGGAAGGGCTGATCAAGACGAACCCGGAAGAGACAAGGTGGCTCAAAGGAGAGACTAAGTCTTTCGGATCAGGGTGCTAAAGGAAGGGGAATATTGGTGGGCATACAGACCTGACACCTCGATTGCACACCCAGTTAGGCCTTTGATCCGGCCACCTGGGTCTGGACCACCCAGTTAGGCCTTTGATCCGGCCACCTGGGTCTGGACCACCCAGTTAGGCCTTTGATCCGGCCACCTGGGTCTGGACCTGACACCTCCATTGCACACTTGGCCTTTGATCTGGCCACCTGGGGCAGGACAGGTAAACAACAGATCCATTCAATGACAGTAAAGGGAGCTTACCGCCCACTTCGTCCATGGGTGAATCTGAAGGATGTGGTGGTGGAGCGTTGGATGAGACACCTAAATATAGGGGAAAAAAACGCTCTTCGACCCATCAAATGGTTTAGGCTCAGTAAATCACTACCAGCCAAGATTGCGTCCTTGCAATGGCAAGTGGAGCACTGCTGTCTACCCACGAATGATTGGTTGATCGACCATACATCTTTGGAATAGAATGGCGTGGCTTTGGAACAGAATGGCGTGGCTCTTCCCTGGTGTAAACGTCAAATTTGTGTGACATCATGCCTGGCCAGGCGGAGACCAGAGACAATTGAACACATCTTTTTACTGTGCCCTGGGTCGGTCTGGTTATGGAGATGGTGGGACCGGGTGTGGTGTCAGCTAGACACGACAACCCCTTGGCCGTGGGACTGGAAGCCAATTCTGTGTGAAACCTGGCAGTCGGAACAAGCAAGCACCTTCGAGAAAAATATGTTCTCAGTGGGACGTACAGCAATTGTCTGGGCAATCTGGTGGAAAAGGTGCATCTGTGAGATGGAAGGAGTTCGCCTTCAAGTTGATGGTCTAGTTGTGGTAGAGGCAATTAAGCAATAGATTCAGATGGACCTCATGGTCCAATGGGAAAAAGTTAAAGAAAAAAATAGCATTTTTACACTCAAGAGCAGAAATCAAAATGCAAATCCAATCTTTCTGTAAGCACTGGCTGGGAGGGGGACAGGGGGGTTGGATTGCGAACGTGTGATGTAAAGGCGGGGAGGGAGGGGCAGGAAAGGGTATGGCTTCATTTTCATGACTGAACCAGAATTGAACCCTCCATCCCACTGCAGCCTCTCTCAGATTTTCCCGATCTCTTCCCGCCGCCTGCAAGCTCAATGGTTGAGACTCACTGGTATACAGGTGTCTGAAAGGACTCCCATGATGAAATCCTCGAGTAAAAAGGGTGAAGAGGCCATTCTAGTACTGCTCAGTCAATCCCCTGGGATATGCCAGCGTAATCAATGCTGGCAGTTCTCTCACAAACTTTCTGAATGTTGATCTAGTCTGCTGTCTCATTGTAAGGGGCGCTGGACCCGATTTCCAGCAGGTGAAGCTCCCCACCAAATAGATCGGAGCCAACCGCAGGTGTTGCTAGGGGTGTTTGCGCATACTATGATCACACCTAGCAAACCTGGGGCAAAAAAAAAAAAAAAAAAAAAAAAAAAAAAAAAAAATCTCATAAAAATCTGAAAAAAAAAATGTTATGTAACATAACAATACAAGCAACTTTCGCCTTGGAGTCATGTTCAAATTCGCAGCCAATCATGAGTTAGAAATCAAAAACCGATTTTTATTTTTTTTACGAAAAAAAAAATTGTTTTTCCGGACGACGGGGGTACCGGACGTCCGATGGGACGTCTGGGGGAGACGACCAGCCCCCGGACCATTGGTAACCTAGAAAAAGAGGTTATTTCCCCCTGGTCATGGTAGCAGGCTTCTGTGAAATTGGGGAGAGCAGGCCTCCCATACAAAATTTGGATTTTAGTTCATAAGATCATGTTCTGGTCCAAATAAGGGGCTCGTTCGACACTCCTCAGGGCTTCCTCGGGGCCTGAGGACAATTCCTCGGAGTCGTTGGGGTATTTCGACGCCTTCGTTCCACTCATCCTCGGAGTCGGCCCCCGAGGACGATTCCTCAGGGCTCCCGCGGCCAGATTTATATACGTATTACCGGCCACGGGATGTGTGTACCACGGCCTGTCTTGAATTGTGTCCGTGTGGATCGGCGAGGTCCAGCTTTTAGGGCCGCCGTGCAGGAAATGACGTCGTCCAGTTCAAAACATTTAGGGCCTTCGAGAAGGCGCGCGAGGGAGCAATTCGAAATATGAAAATTCAAAATGTGCGCGTGCGAGTGGAGGCGGGCGATGGACGTCAGCCGTGCGGATGAGGGCGCGGGGGCGGACGTGGGCGTGTCCATATGAGAAGTCAGGTTGAATGCCTTGGACTGTAGAGTGTGCGCATGCCTTCCATTGTTGGACCATACGTTGTCGGCGTTTGAGGTCGCCATCGTCGCAGCTTGTCGCCCAACTCCTCAGTGGTGGCGTCCCTTTTTTTAAGTGAGGCGGGATATCGTCGTTCGACGTGGATGTGTGTGCGGAGGTTTGGCGGTTGTCGTCGCTCCGCTGTCGTGGATGGAAGAGGCGTCGGGGATGGTTGTTGACGCCGGTGTCCAGGGTGGTGCATTGACGACAGATGAGAGGACGGCTATCGTCGCGGCCGTCAATGTCGTCCTCTATCGTTGTCAAGTGGAGAGAACCGTGGGGAAGATGAAAGCAGCTATTCATGCGCGACGGAAGGTGACGGCACTACCGAGCAGCGGTGAAGGCTTGGACTTGGGTGCAGTTTCCGACGCCGTCCTCCAGGTGTGCTACGCGATGGGGAGCGGTGCATTTCCGAGGGCGACTCCACGTTGGTGGATGAAGCGGCGGACGGGAGGCACCTGGGAGGACCTGCGGCAATGTGACGACGCCACCGACGAGTACTTCAGAGACAAGCTCCGAATGTCGCCACGTGTCTTCCGCGAAATCGCCGAAACGATTTCTCCATACCTGCAACGGCGTGTGACGTTTTACAGGGTGTCTTCGCAGCCTGACCACATCGTGGCTTACGCTCTGTACAAGTGGGCGTAGGGTGAGACATACGACAACGGAACGTGCAGCTTCGGCATCGGGAGGGCTTCTGGCATAACGGCGGTGCGAGACGTTACTGCCGCCTTGCTCGCTGCGTACCCGGACAAGATATCGTGGCCCATTGGCTTGCAGAAGGCAGTCATGTTGCGCGCATTCGCAGACAAGGGCTTTCCAAATTGCCTTGGGTGCATAGGCTGCACCCACATCTACGTCGACAAACCGGCCAACGCAAACGGGGAGGACTACTGCGATCGGAAGAGGCGATTCTTTGTGCAAGCGCAGGTTGTGGTCATCATGAATTTGCGTGTGCTGGACGTCTTCGTGGGTTGCCCTGACAGCGTGCATGACATGAGGATGTTGCATCTTTCTAGTTTGTGGGAGCGCGCGGAGTCAGGACAACTTTTCACTGGCCCGCATGTCATGTTGCCATTCGTTGTCTGAACGAATGGATACTTGCTCGGTGACAACGACTATCCGCAGTCGGAATGGATTGTCGTCCCTTATGGAGGTCTCGCGCAACACCCCACGGAGGCACTGTTCGACAACAAGCAGAAAACGGCGAGGGGAGCGGTGGAGAGGGCGATTGGAAGATTGAAGGGCATGTGGAGGTTGTTCTTACGAATGCACAAGTGCAACATGGACACGTTGCCGCAACAGTTCATCGTTGTGTGCATCCTCCACAACATACTGATCGACGCAGGCATTCCTTTCGACGACAATCTATTGTGGGAGGCCGGACCGGATGGCGTCTGACGCAGGGTGGATCTGGGTATGCATGCGCCGCTGCGTCCTGTTTGCATGGAGTCGTAAACCGGTGACGCGCTGATTCTGAGGGATGCGTTGGCGGAGAGGATGGGTGCGCAGTGAGAAGGGGTGCTTGTGGAAGTGGATAGTCGAAGAGGTTCGAAATGCGGCGAGATACCGGAGCAAGCGGGGAGGCACCGAAGAGATGATGCGCAAGGAACGATGGGGAGGTACGCCCTCCCGTGTCCATTGGAGGTGCTTACCGAAGGCGTTCATCAGGCCCGCCCAGTTTGCTGTCGTCCGGAAGTTTGTTTGGTCGTCGTCAAGCACAATGTGCTTTCCTCCCCGAAGCACTCCTCCTCCAGGTTGTCATCCGCCTGTTCGCGTGTCGCAGTCGTGTCACAGATGGTTGGTCATCAGTGCCGTTTTTGGTACACGATTTTAACATTGTCGTCAATTATGGAGCATTGTTGTTTTAGCAGCGCAAGCGGTTGCGCAAACCTTCGTCGAAGTTACTGTGATTCGTTTTCGTAATGATCATCGTCGTGCGGAAGTCGTTGATGGTGTTCCGCAAAGTAGTATAGAAGACCTAAGCACGTGTTAGTTGGAACGACGTGAAGCCGTGGGCTAGCAGTGTGGGGGGGGGG